AGAGCCTTATGTAATACTATTAACCAAGATAAGTAAGATTTCACAGGTTTGTCTGCGAAAGAATAGCGAAGCTAATCGTAAAACATCGATAATGCAATTTTATGCAATTTTTTACAAAATGTTTCACAATATTCAAAGGCAGTCTAGATCGTTTATACAACATATCCTTAAAATGGATAATTCTTGTTAATAAGTGCAAAATTCTATGGTTTAAGTAGTGCAATTTTGTGCATTTTTTTCATTACAAAATGTTTCACAATATTCAAAGGCAGTCTAGATCGTTCATACAACATATCCTTAAAATGGATAATTCTTCATTGTTAATAAGTGCAAAATTCTATGGTTTAAGTAGTGCAATTTTGTGCATTTTTTTTACAAAATGTTTCGCAACAGGCTTTTGTTTTCTTTCTGCTTCCCATGAGATTTAAACTAAAGTGATGAAGATATAAAAGACACTGCCTAAGTTGCCTACACCATCTTTGTATATGGGAAATAGAAAATATCTTAGGAGGTGGGATAGTTTAAAATGGGAGTCTTATAAACATTTTTTCATCATAACATCGACTCAGTCTGTAACTGAGGACTCCAACTGGGAATTAAGAACAATTCAGTAGAATACTTAACATTATATTTCGTTATGGCGAACGTCTTTAGCAACGAAATATAGTCGGTGAAACAGCACAAGCTTTGAGTTTAGATTTCTCATACATGTATACTAAAACTCGTTGATGCAAAGCCCACAATTAAGCCATTGATTAAGACATTCATTGTCAAAGGGTAAATATTTGATGAGAAAAATTGAACGTAAAAATTAAAATTAAATGAAAAATACAGTAAAATGAGGAAGATGATTAAATAAGAAAAACACCATATCGTTGTATTATGGCGACTGATGTCCTTTTTGTTCTGAAGATCCGTGTGGCATAACGCATCTTATTAAGTCTCGATGCGCCGTTTACTGACTGAGTATAAAAAGATCCAAAAAACAGAAAAGAATTATCGTAAATATTATCATAAATACAGATTATTTTTGCAGACATCGAGTCTTTATTTCTGTTGAAAAACCGCGGGGAAGCGGTATATTTTACAATCACTAATAGAAGTATGCTAAATAGTATTCATGGTATAGCTGTTTCTGTTCTTTTATCATTTACATTGGGAGTGATATATAATTTATACCCAATTTATTTTTTTCGACTGATAAATAAATTAATAGATGACTGTCAGGTAGTGTATAAGCTGTCAGGCTGTAATATAAAAAGACAAAAGAAAGCTCTCGAACGCACATGGTCGTATGTTGATTCAGCTCCCAACCAAACGCTAGTTTCCTGTACTAATACTTGTAAAATTGATTTTTTTAATATTTATCGTCTGGCAACAATTGAGCCTTTTTTATAGTATTTCCCGTTTCATTATACACAATAAAAGCATCTCTAAAATGTCCTTTTCTTGCAGTAATTAATACTTCAATGGATAATCCAATCTATTGAAAGTGAAATGTCTATTGTGCTGGAGCGAAGATCTCGCTTAAAAACATTTGTCTCTACCTTGATACAGTCTAAAACGTCTTTATGTATAAAATATACTTTTTCTAGTTGATATAAGAAGGGGAAAATGATTTCGAGGAGATCTTGTTTTCTCCTTCGTCAAGATATCCAGAATCTATGGACGTGTAGCCGTTCTCATGAGCATTAGGTTCTTCATCAAAAGCGTTCGTGTCAGGTTCGGGCGACCTGTGTCTAGTTCTACCATACGAACCTTTAGGCCTATCGCTACGATCACGATGCCTAGCAATCTTAGGGCTACTGTATATGTCAGGAATCCGTGCAGGTTTTCCGGGTAAAGTTCCAGTATTATCACTAACGTGTAAATCCTTTTTCGTTAATAATGTAGGTTTGTTAAAAAACAGTTCTGAACCAGGTTCGTCTTGTCCCGACGACTTTCGAGTCCGCACGTTTTCAAGTTCATTTTCATCCAAAGATTCAGAGCGCTTTTCGTTCAAAGGCGGTAGTCGTTGTAGTCTATTGGATGAGACGTTTAATAGTGGACTGACATTGGCGTTTTTAAGCAGCTTTTCTTGTTCAATTATCAGCCTCAAAACTGCGGTAGCTTCCTCGTCATTGAACTTACTTCTTGGCGGAAACTTCCTTCCAAAGTCATGMCTTCCATCCATGATCAAATCAATGAGTCGTTTTGCTACATGTAACAAGTCTTAAACTCTGCAAAGATAAAATATGGAAAAGCGTCATGCAGTAGTTTAAGCTGATCAAAAGTGACTATTTGTCTAAGAACATCAAATTAGTTTGAGGGGCTGATATAATTTGACAAAAACAACCTGTGATGTCAAGAATTAACTTTATCAAGTAAAACTTTAAGTTTCGTGCCATAGTGATGATTGAGCCTCACAATGAAACATACTCGTCATATTACAAGTTTGTTCCTGTAAACCCCATTCACAATATACACTTTTCCCAGTAATTATTGAATATGTGCCGACCTTCTTCCTCTCGACCTTGTTCACAAGGATAATAAGTGCCTTCTTTGTTCGCTACTACCCTGATTTAATCTTACTTTGAGGGATATCAGCATTGCTAAAGAGATGGCATGGTGTGGAATAAAGCAATATAAATATCCACATTATGCTCGTGTAATACAATACCGTAACAGGTGCACCTACCGCTCACGGATTATTTATTTTACAGTTGCTATGGTGACAAAACAAAACACAAATCTTAAGTAGAAATCTGGAGAAATGTATATTAAGTGTGGAAATTTTTGCGAGGACCTTTCTAGAAGGAAGCGCGTGTAATCGAGTCGATTTTGTTTGTTTGTTTATTTGTTTTCGAGAAGAAACAATAGGTTGTAATAATGACCAACAAATTGTACAAGTCTCCTTAAGTTGACAGGACTCTAGAAATTTTATTTTTATTTTTTATCATTATGACCTGCTTGTTCATAGTTTCAGCCTGGAAGACTATTTCAATATTTAAAACCCTTTTTTGGCCTGCGTTATCAAATTTTCAAAAGTCATGAAATATAACCGTTCTTAATGTAAATTTGAAGATCTCCAAATTTTGTTCTAGTGAAGTCTTGTCTTATTAACTTTGAATTTAACAAAATCGATTTTTAATTGTTGATAGAAGCGACAACAAGCTGCATATTTTGACAGCTTTATTACATGGACGATTCAGTTAAATAAGACTCTTAGCCGTGAAGGCAAAACAACTTCTACTTTTTGAAGATTCCAAGCCTTTGAATTGAACGAATAAAGTTAATTCCTCAGGCGGTACTGAAAACAGAGTCAACTCGTCGATGCATTCTTATCGGTATTTCCAAGCCACCAGATGTTGATTTAATACAAAGAAAACGTAAACCAGTATCTTTCTAAATAGTGATCGTCAATGAATGGACGCGGACGGCTGATTGATAATGCAATACTTCTGAACACTTGTAGTTAGAATAAAAAAACACACCGAATAAATACCCTATTTGAGCTTTTCAAATTATAACCCCATGTTAAAAAAGTTCCGAGGACGCAATCAAACATTACGTAAGCCTTACTGCTTCAAAACATCTGAAAAGTGCTTTAAGAAATGCGCGCGATGATTGCACAATATTTAGTTGGACTAGTTTTAGAAATTATGAGAAGCATTCCGTTTACTGAAAAAATGGCGTCCTACTAGCTATCAAAAAAAACGTGAATAAACTCCTATATTTATAATACAAATCAGTCGAATTATAAATATTTCTGAGATGTAGGGGCAGCGATGAAAGAATATTTCGCGAAGGACTCAAAGGAATTGTATAATCTAGTTTCATTTTTTAGCTTCACCATCAGAAAGATAACATGAATAATAAAACTGATTGGAGCCGAGATTTTCGATATTATTCTTGTATTTAATTTAAGCATTTTCAGGATCGGATAAGTATTGAAGTATGTTATGATGAACTTTACAGAAAAGAGAAGATTAAATTGAGCTACCTTGATTTAGTCATGAGGGTATACCTGATCGCTTGTACTTCAGATTTTGTAATAGAGAAGTCCCCTTTTTATCATTCCCAGATTTAAAAAAGAAGCTCCCCTTATCTTTCAGTATCCAAAAAACATTTTCAATCAAGCCCTTGAAGTTGTCAGATTAYTTGAGCTGCGGCGACGTACTGTTGCTTTCTGTGTTTCTACACTCAAAGAACTTCTAATTTAAATAAATAATTGCGGTGGCGCGTGTTTGGTTTTAAAAGTCTCCGCAGGGAAGTTACGAAACAAATATCATTCTGATGTTTCACGCTAAGAGCGCGAAATAACGCCTTAAAAACGGGAAAAGTACCGAATACAACGCGTTTGCAGCAAACGTAATAATCATGTTAGTGATATATCTTCCCCAAATAATAATAATAATAATAACATTGGACTTTAGTCAACTGAATAAGAGTTCTTTTTAATTATCGATAGAATTTTCTAAAAACAAAAGAGAGGTCTTGACATAACTAAGCAACTTCCATGCTAATTAAAATCAACCTTCAAAATTCTTATCGTAAACATTTAAAAAAGTTTAAACAAACAAATATTAAAAAGAGAAAGTTTCAAAATTGATAAACTAATGTGCATTAAACTTGACAGGTCATAGGTATGGAAAAAAGGGCCAATGAAATATTGAAACTAGAGTAAATTACGCGCTGAAAAATCAATAAAGGTAATAGTTTTGACGGGCGCCATTACGTCAGCTAAACTAAGTACTATAAACTCCAAAACAGGTACATGAAAGCGAAGGAAAGATTATCGTTAAAAGAAGAGAAAGAAAAAAACATGAACAATTTTAAACAGAGAAAAGGAATTGGAAAACGAGAATTGCCCGGTTTACAGTGAAACAAATTCTATACAACATCTTTCTAGAAATACATTACTTAGCTAAATTAGTTTTCGAGGCTTGTTATTAAACAAAAAAAACGGTAAACTAGGATGTATTTGCAAAACAAAAGTATTCTACGATTCAGGCAGCCTAGCAGAGTTATTCATATGAATAGAGGAGACGGCGCCCCGCGGTTTCAAGGCTGTTCCTTCTGTTCCTTAGCAATTTAGATCGTCGCTATACCTACGACGCGTTTGTGAACCGACTTACTAGGGCTCCAATTTAGTCTTATTCATATCTATAGTAAACATACAGCAACAATTCTATAGATGCAGAATGTGGTTTATCAGTTTCTCCTGTGATATCTTTCTCTAAGCATTGAATAAAATGACAGGAGTACTGTAGCATTGCCGAGAGAGTTTAAATTGACTGCGTGGTCACTCTGTTTGACTGCGCGTCTTAGGCCATCTATGTGAACAATGGCAGAAAAGCCACGATTTTTTTCATCGTATGTAAATCCTATGGAGCATATGGTCATAGCTAGAAGCTTGAATTTGTCAAGGTTTAATCTACTGTTTAAACACGAAAACTTTTTTCTCTTCAACATCCAACATTTCATGGAAAAGGTTCCCCAATGTGTCATTGTTATTTTTAACCATTTCATGTCATCTAGCTTACCAAACTGAAGTTTAAATATTCCCCTTATCAAAGTATATTCAAATATGTGGTATTTCACTCAAAAAGTAAAAAAAAAAATCTAGTTTCTATTCTATGATTTTATAGACGCTAGATGTCAAGTGGCTTTCTCGTCATAAATGATGTAGAATTTCTAAAATAAGATTCGGTAACGATATGTCATTGATTCGTGTGTTGAAACACCTTACCTTTATGACGAGCCAAAACTGAGACTGTCAAGAGTGCTACAAAAACATGAACCGATATATGTATCATAACAATAGAGCGACCTCAAGGAATCATGGGATAGCGTGCTCTAGCACACCACGAGCACAAAACATCACTAGTAAAATTATAGACTTTTACTTTTCAATTTAAATTAGATATATAGCAAAATTCGTGTTCTTTTTCATGTTTTTTTTTTGCGTGTTTTCTCTTTAGACTGAACGATTTTCGTCGTTTGCAAGTGAATTGGTTTGGATTAAGGAGTCTTGGACCAATCATTAAGTGTCAAATTGATGTTGACATTAATTAATGAATTTCCTTGGTTAAAATTGATGCTCTTTTCAACAACAGCTTAACTTCACCTTTTACTTCAAGCTGATCTGGTTTTAATGCCTTAAAAAGGATTACAGCACTATTCGTCTACGTGCTAAAAGTTTTATTCCGTATATGAATTAGAGATTTATCTATCTAAAAGCTTTTCTTTTTTTCACTAGTTGTGGGTCGTCATTTTCAAGGTTTTTTTTGGGATATATTTCAATGTGAACAAAGATGTTTTTAAGCGTATCATAAGTTTACTGACACAAAACTTAGCATTTTAACTTCGGTCCCAAAAGACTATTCACACACATCAGATGTGAACTARCCATTTCTTACTTGCTAATGACTCAAAACACATTTTCAGATGGTTTCCTTATGTTTCTCCTCGTTTCCAAGGAAACAAGAATAACAAACATGGATTTGWTGGTGAAAAATTCGTATCGAAAACTGACAWTGTGATAAGAGCAACATCAAACAACTTGGTATCCATGGTTTTCCKCTCATATCCTGCATATTCTGGCGTTATCGGGTTTTAATCGTGGCTTTTTATCTTGTTATACTTTATCCCATTTCTATTCTTCTCATTCTGTCAWTGTTTGCTTTTTTTATCTAAAAGCTCGCTAAAATCTGTGCTAAAAACAATAAAAATGCTGTATTTAATGTTAAACTAACTCGAGTCATACAAGCTATGCCCGACTGAAAGTAAAGAGTTTAAATGAGAGGTGGGCTCAAGGACGGTGTAAGCTTAAGGCTATTTTGACTTTCATTGTTTAAAATGATGAAAATAAAGCGGCATTTCCTTCCTACAAAATGGAGGGCTCGAACCATAATTACACCTTTCGCAAGTGTGGAAAATAATCGTAAAAGATAATTCAGACATGTGAATATAGATTATCATCATTGTAGAGATAGACATCTCTATAAATCCTGCGTTGTTATTGTGGATTTTGGAGACAAGAAGGAAACCAAAAAGCGATTATATTTCTATAAAAGTGTTTTCCATGCTCTAGGCCACCGGAAAAGTACTAAAATGAACTCACTTAAGAAACATAAAGAAGCAAGAAAGACGAGTGTTTTCCGTCATAAGGGAGCCGTTAGCTCAGCAATTTCTCCTGTATTTACGGAAATGACACACATACAAAAAAAATACGGGCAATAAAAGAAGATCTCATCGTTGGGTCTGGTATGAATAGTAACATTAGAACTAAGAAAAGCATCTAATTTCAGATCAAAATAGCAAATGATATTGAAACTAACACATGACAAAATTAAAATATTGACTGACCTCGAACTGTTTTTTCTGCATAAAATTCAATCGCCAAATTCAAATAGGAAATTTCACTGAAGCGCGCGCTTTTCAGTCGCTCTGCGCAATAAAAAAATGGCCGACTTCTGACTATACGAACTAAGCTGTCTTTTTCATTCCGATATGATTTTTTAAACACCGTCAAAATCCTATTGTCTCTTCATCTTAAAGAATAATCTTTTACCTGCACTGGGAGTTCTTCCAATCGAAGACGAGTAGGTCAAATCATGTTGACTCTTGTAAGTGCGCAATAAGTTGTCGAGTCATTTTGGCGAATTCGTTTTGGATTAAGACTGATGTCAATTCAGCCGTGGAAATAGCACTTGAATACGCGCAAGAATATCGATATAAAAAGACACAATTGCTAAACAATAAGATTTATCAAGACGTGATACTCAGGTTATTGTTAGAGCAACTGGCCTATCAGTGTATGACCTTGGCCTCGTTGTCCAAAGTACGTTTAACACTGTTTTTCCGCATACAGCGAGCGCTTAAAAAACTCCATAAAGGCACATCATTGTGAACAAGACCGTATTCTAACATAAACAACAACATATATCATTCAGTATTGGGAAAGAACTGTCTTTGACGTAAAGAAAATTCTGATGTCTTCCCTACGTCGAAGTTGCTATACCATTTCAATATTTTTTAATGAGAAACAATTAGCCACAATTCACACAGCTTTTAATGCTGATTCTAACAATAAGATTGAAAATGAGAACACACAAAGAAATGATTATACTATTTTTTTAATTAGTTTTCCTATTGGTTTTACTGTGCGTTTTTTAATTCACATAGACTTGCTAAATCTGTCGAAAACTAATTTAGGATTAATGGCGTCCCGATTGATCTTTTCGGCTGTTTGATAACTGTGATATCTGGATAATCACCTTGGGGTACTTATAAGAAATGATACTAGATTTCCCTCTTACCCCAACATCACAAATGCCATTAATCAACTTGTCCTGCAGCAGAAAACCTAGCCATGAAATAATGCAAATATTCTAGACGCATAATTTATCGTGTACGATATCCATTTCACAATTAAAACCGGAGTATTTCTTTCGACTTTCTTATATTAAAAGTACACAATTGAAGAAAACAATCATTGTAAAGAAGATGAACACGTACAATTGTCTTACATTTTGTGCAGAGAGGTTGGACGAAAGTTACGCCTTTTCATAGAGCAAGGAATTAACTAATTAAAAGCACTTCTTCGATCTCTTGTGTAGAAAATTACTTGCTAAGGTTCCTCAAGAAATTACTTTGTTACATGTAAAACGTCATAAGATTTTGGTTGTGCCTTGTACCATATATAAAAGGTTCTCTTTCGCTGGCGTTAATTCTATAGTCTATATAACAATAACAACTTAATAACAATTCCTGTCGACAAAACTTAAATTCGGTTGTTATTCCACATTTCTAGCTTTGCATAAGCTTGCTTCAGTAATCGCAAGAGAAAAAATTCAGTTTTAGTTGTAGCTTGCCTTAATCGCGAGGCCATTTTAAAGAATCTATTTATTAGTCTTTGTTATTAGCGAAGTATTGTTGTACCCCTCTGTGTCTATCTCAGCACTTTAAGAATCAACAAAACTATTATACTGAGTTAATASTATATTTGAAAGCTAATTTTTGTTGGATTCATCATTGACTAGCGAATAATGAAAGACAAATTACCTTCATACGAGGCCTCAAAGTGTTACGAGTTTCACCAAAGACTCTTCGGTACCGCAGAAAATAGTGAGAAGGCTTATTTCACATATAAACACAATCGGATTACCAGAAACGCTTAATTGTGGATTAAAACTTTGCATTATACCTTCAAAAGAGCTATTTACTTATCTATTTTGAATATTTAGCAAAGTAGTAAAAAGTCAGAAATACTTACAAAGCGCGGGAATCAACTTGATATCGGGTTATTCTTCGCATCAACGATTCATCGAAATATTCTCAGTGATTTCATCAATTCACAGTTGTAAATTTACTAGTATTAAAGATTCAATTTGAATATGATCTAGTTTTATAGGATCACCGATACCATTCATTAACCTGGACCATTTTTGTGTGGTTTCCAAGGAAGCTGTTGAACAAAAACACTTCCCCAGTTTCTAGGCTTTGTCGCTCAAAGCAATTAACTTGACCGTGAGACCAATATGAATGTAAATAGCAATAAGAATAAAAAAAATCGAATATAATAATAGTTCCTAACAATATAACCAAAAAATGAATGAAATGTGATAACAATTATCGAATAGAAACCCCTTTATAAGTAGACTAAGTTGTGAATCACTTCCATGTTCCATTTTCAAGTTCCAAAGGGTAACTTTAAAAATTTCAAAAACCCTTTATTTTAGAACAAAAGATATCTCGTTATCACCTATGATCGATGCATTTCTGTTCATTGCCAACGTTTAATTTTGATTGATTTGCATATCCTATATCATTGACTCATAAGTGGAACACAAACACGTTGTCAATACCTTCTTCACCAGTAAAAATGATATAAAAAAGGAAACTAAAAAAACCAACTGCTTCTTAAATTAAAACCTTCAAATTAACCTTAATATATCCATAAATCGAGAATAATTTTCAAGAAACGAGGAATCGTAGGCAATTTTAAGCACGATTTTCCATTAAAGTCGTTTGTGTTGAGGCAGATGTTCATAGGCTTGTCATTGATTATCGGTCTCTGTGCAGCCGATCAAGTCAATATTTGTATAAGACAGACCTTTTTTTTTTCGTCGAGAGAAAATTAATATTATCGTCCCCTCTTTTCAATTGACCGCTTATCCACACAAGTTGATGACAGTTGGCATAGCATTAAAACTTAGTCAGGTTATTAATTGCCAAAGACATGACAAGGTACGATTTTTTTTGCTCATGATCCATATTTTTCTAAAACTGCCATCACTGTTACCAGCTGATGTTCGTTTTTCATATCAATCCAGACACCTGTGATCCCAAGCCCGATGGATTCTTCATGATCACACGCCATATCAATGGACAATGCCTCTGATGTTTAATCATCATCATCACCATTATGACATAATCATTTTGGTAAAAATAAAATGCATCCATGAAACAGAAAAATAAAACGTTTTTTTACGGGTTTGTTTAGCATGATAGCTGGCAAAATTGATAGCAAAATATTATATAAGGATTAAAGAATGATACTCCAAYCGGGTCGAAAATACAGCCTTGGTCCTCCGGTTCGGCGTAGAGTGAGAACGCTAAACCCATGAAACAGCAACTAAAGCAGTCAAATAAATACAGAAGAAAACAATAGTGCTTACGTYACTGGTATCTATTTCACGGTTTTATAGAAACAACTCGGCCTCATTCCGTGAAATGAACGATACGTATTGCAATAGTACGCGAACCATATAGTAATATTATTATTAGTGAAATTTACAAAAATGAATAAAATATTGAAAGAGACTTAAATTAAGATAACATGATATCATCATTATTATTAGTGTTATTYGGTGAGAAAAGAGCAACAATTACATGAATCACCCATAATGCATTTGATACGATATCACTTATGACAGCGGTCAGAATTTTTGCAAATGGCGGTAATTTTATTATCATAATGATGGCACTTGAACGATTTTTTTCAGACTTCTCCCAAAAAAAACTTAATATTACTTGACTTGTCATCAACACTATAATCATAGATTTGTCTCCGATAAGGCTATACAAAATAACAGGATATATTGTCGTCGGTATAGTAAAATAATAGTCCCGCAGCAGTATCCGACACACACCGGAAATATACTGTACAAAGTTCAATATATCAGTAACCAAAGAATCAATATTCTTGARAGAAGACCAGATAAAATCATTGATATCTACAGCCGAGTATATCGAAAACAATAGATTTTATTCAGGCAATAAAGTTGAAAGAAAATGACATATATCAATAGATTCTGTGACATTTAGTATCGTGCACATTGAACAATATGGCTGCACGGAATAATACTAACTGAGGAAGCTGATGACAATCAGCGGCTGACACTTTTTTGCGAAAGTGAGCCCTACAACAATTCATGACTGACTAGGAAATATTGTAMAAAACAAATAAAATCCACAGGTCAAGACGGAATAACTAGATATAACAGGACGTTTCACAGTAAATGATAATACCATATGCTCGCCTGAGATCCAACACATGAAAGACCAACACGGCAACGCTTTTCCGATAAAACTATTCTAGTTTGATATATTCTTTTGTTCTTTGACAGCTCGTGAAAACGAGTGGAATTTACGTATGAAGAAGACAATTTTTCTCGAAGYCTCG